TAGGCCAAAAATCTTTATTGGGTCAAGCCAAAGCAAAGCCCACTAATTATTTTGGGCCAACCTTGGGCTAAGAACCACCTTGGGCTGGTTGGGATAATAAAAAAAGGATTAAGGGGTGGATAATAAGGGTACCACCTCTTTATTATCCCCCATATATCCGTACTAGATGTTGCATGCATCAAGATACCATCTTATCACCCTCCATAGGCCAACTGCTATTCTCTCCCCTTCCTTCTATACCTCTCGGCCGACCTCCCCCCTCCTCCCACTCTCATTCAAACTTAACTCTCAACTAATTTCCTCTTAAACAATCAACACTTCTCTCATCTTCTTTCCTCCCAAAAATTGTGTGGGTATGTGCATGTGTTAGCTTCACAAAATCTACTTCAAAGGGTCATAAAGTTGGTAAGTTCTAGGTTAAACTCCATTGTTTTGTTTCAAGTTTATACTAAGATCTTTCCTCTTACACTCTCATTTTCGTGAATATGAACCTTAGAGCACCACTATTTCGAGAATCTTACCAAGAGAACAAGCTAGGCTTGAAAATCCTTCTTCATTCTCCTCTACATCTCAAAAAACCTCAAGGTGAGCTTCATACCCCATTATTTTCAAGTTTTCATTCTTTTTTTTTTTTTGGGGGGGGGGGGGGATACAAGTCAAGTCTTGATTGAAATCTTTGGATATTTGCATGCACTTGTATGTATATATGTTTATGTGTGTTGGAATGTTGTTACTTCATACTAACACTCCTTAAACTCAAGATTTTTACAAAATCTCATGTTGTTGGAACAAAGTTATCTTTGTGTAGTTTCACATATTTAGGTATCATTTTGAAAATGGAACATTTTGCTAAGTAAAAATGACTTTAGTGTGTGTTAAAAGTCAAAAATAATGTCAAAGAAAATGTTATAGCATATTTGGTTATAAAAGCGTGAAAGTTGGTAAAATATGAGAGTTTACACTCAAAATGGTAAATTTTTTGGATATATAGATTTTTACCACTAATACTTGAATACAAAGCATGATAAGTTAAAACCTGCTTATGAGTATTGAAACTTGATGATAGGACATGTAGTAAGCATTAATATAATGCTTAATAAGATATAGAAGTGAATCTAAGAACTTTTCTGTGATTAATGATTTGCTCATGTTGAAAGTGATTGGATGATGGGTAATTATATGTTATTGTTTGCATGGTGATGTTTTAAGAACAAGTTCGTGTTGTATTGGTATGTTTTGTCTTTATATTTATAGTTTTTATAAACAATGTTTGTGTGTATGATGATGGTTATTCCGAACAAGTTTATATGTATGGTGATGGATTTTATTATGGAAGTTTGTTTTTAAGAATTATATTATGGAAGCTTAATCATAAGAGAATATATTATATTTTATATATAGTTACATTTCTTGTCCCCTTTATATGTAGTTTATATGTAATCATATATGATTATGTATTACCACTTATGTACTTACAAATGAGGTCTAGAACTAGATAATGGAAAATAAACATATAATAACAAATGCATTTACAATAGCGGTTTAATTTTTTTTTTCTTTTGATCTATTTTTTGATTACATGACCAATTTATTATTTTATATTTTGATAAATGAGCACACTTTTAAATTATTTTGAGTGCATAGAAAACGTCACCATGCTTTATAGTTGTATATGTAGGTTTGGAAAATCTTATCACTTACCCCTAATATCAACTTTTTCATTAGTATGGGAAGTAGTTTGCAACAAGGGGGTAGCCTCATGCTACCCCTTAGACTTGCTCAAGAACTAAAATTTATTCAGATTTAATTTTTTCACTTGTGAAGAAAAAGTGAAAACGAGTTATCGAGTAAAAAAACTATTAAATCAGACGTTGAAGTATTATTTTAGAAGATATAATTTTTTCTCACTTTTGTATAAAAGGGTTCTTATACAACTCCAATGGTTAGTTTCCTTTATTAATTCGTTCAATATTTACTGTAAATTTCTTCAATATCATCATGATTAATTTATGAATTAAACAACTTCCATTTCATTTCAAGCAAACTATATATCCCAAAAGTAATAAAGAAATGATCTTTTTGTGTTCTTAGGTAGATTTTCATAGAGATTGTAGCTCACTCCAAGAAAATTTACACCATTACTCCTAGAACTTATCTTCATTGCACATATCAGATCTTTATTACATGTCTTATGAAGTAGAGAATTGTTTTCATTAAAAATGAAGATATGTTTTTAATGAACAACAACACATCAAACATGTAGTAAAGATCTGATACATGCAATGAAGATAAGTTCTTCGAGTAATGATGATATTTTTCATGTAGTGAACTACAATCCGTATGAAAAACTAGCTGGGAATACAAATAACAAGAATCTTGAAAAATAGGGAATGTATTATTCAAGGCTGTGAAATTTTTTATGATTGAATATTTGCTCAAGTTGGAAGTGATTCGAAAATGGCTTATTAGATGTTGGTTTTCTAGATGAACATGGTTATTGTTATGTTTATAGTTTTTCTGAACAATGTTTGTCTCTATCGTGTTGGTTATTCTGAACACGTTTGTATGTGTGGTGATGTATTTTATTATGTAAGTTTGTTTGTGTTAATTTCTAATGAAAGTTTAATCATTAATGAATATATTATATTTTTATATGTAATTACATTTCTAATAAACCTTATATGTTGTTTATATATAATGGATTACACATATTAAAAAATAGATAAAAAACATTATATAATTATTAATGTTTTTGTAATCATAAATGATTATGTAATACCATTTATTTATTGTTTATCATATGTTTTTTTTTATAATCATAAGTGACTATATGCAGTTGAAATCATAAAAGACTTAAAATTAGATATAACAAGGTGTAAGATGAAAAATGAAAAATATAATTTTTTGTATAACTAACAAAATGAAACAAATATATATATATATATATATATATATATATATATATATATATATATATATATATATATATATATATATATATATATATATGTATGTATAGATTTCATTGAGATTCCGAAATAAATAAAGATCTTGAGAATCAATCTCATCCTAATATTTTTCATTTCCGCTCTAGTGCTGCAGTGTACCAATGTAGCAGGAGAGTTATAATCATAAATTATTATGCATCGCTGCCCATTCCTTTTTCCCCAACCTCCATCCTTACCACCATAACCAGCACCGCTACCACCAACACCACCACCTCTACCACCAACCAACCTCACCACTGCCAACTTCGTAACCTTTACCACCACCACCTCTTCTGCTACCAACCACCCTAATCATATATGATTAATCACTTTGTGAACAGACATATACATGTAATCATTTATGATTAGACATATTTGTATGAACATGTATAATCATATATAATTATACATTTCTACCATATAATCATTTATGATTATGCATTATCTCGCAGTGTCGGTGCGCTGGACCATTAGAGCGGTAAATAAGAAATATGTAACTAAGGTTGAATCTCGAGATCTCTATTTTTTCTGAATCTCAATGAAACTATCCTATGTGTGTGTGTGTGTGTATATACACACACACACACACATCTTATAAAGGAGGCTATTCAAATGAATGTGATTCAAGATATGTCACTTTCTTTAACCATATTCATTTGAAACTCCCCAAATCTTCATTTTATCCTACTTAAATGAGTATTTAATATTTTTTTCTATATAAGAAACAATTGCTTCTCTTCTATTTTCTTTTTGTTTTATCTCTCTTTTGAATTTTGTTATCTATGGCGCATGAGAATGAAGAAGTTTTAAATAAGTTTGCTTTATTCTTTCCATATCTCCTTTCCCTATATTTTCTTAAAATTCCATAAGAATTTTGTTGTGTACAAGATCCAATCCAAAAGTTTTTGGTATTTAGAGATAATGAAGAATTTTCTTAATGTTGTATATTTAGAGCCAAAAGAAAAGTGTCATCAAATATGAAGTGTTACATGTCCAAAGTGTGTTCGTGTGAGAAAGAATGAGAGTTTTAGGTAATGGTTGTATATTTAGAGTTAAAAGAAAGGTGTTCTGAATTTTGATGATTTTGTAGAGTTTAAAGAAGAGTTATGTTTTGATAAGTTCTCTTCATATTAATGTGTTTAAGTGTGTTTTAAAAATAAAATAAATAAGATCATGAATCGGCTTTTGATGGGTTATGTTCACATTGATGGAAATATAAATGTCCCAATTCATTTTCTTTATGGCTTATTTTATGGATATTGAATAAAAAATATAGGCTTTTATGGATGTTATTGTTGTTTTTTTTTCACTGTCGTGACTTCTATTTTAATGGCCTAAATCTTTTAATTCTATTCTTTTTAAAAGTCTTACCTTGAAAAATTGCATCTTCCAAACAGTTTTTGTAATTTAATACATAAAAATATGAATAATTTGATTAAATAGGTACAAAATTATTGTCTTAAATATATAACTTTGTATTATATATTTGATTGATGTTTTTTGTCAAGCAAAAATAACATACACTTTCATCTACATAAATACACATAAAATAATAGATGCACGTAATTTAGTTTTTAATATATGGTTTGAAGGCACTTGGTATAATATTTGGTCTAGATAATTTGTTATATTATTCATATAATTTACAACACATAGTTTAAATATTTTTGTAATATTTAATCAAGTCTCAAAATATCAATATTTCGATGATTGTGTAATATAACTTATTGCACATAAATATGATTAATTTTATTGATTGTATTATATATGTGATATGTTTTAGAAAATACTCTTATTTGATTTTTGATTTAAAAATTATTTGATATGTCATTTTCATTGACTTAGAAATGCTTTTTATATAAAAAAAAATTCAATATAATATTTAGCTTTATTTTGTGTATAAAATATATTAGATTAATTAGTCAATAGATAATAAAAATAAAATATAATTTAGAGGAATCAATTGATATTGTTATAAGATGAATGATTATATTTAATGCATAATGTATATAAATGATTGAAAATATTAAGTGGTTAGTTGCTGATGCAAAAGAACGCCATACTAAGGTAGATATGACACATGAGGTTGCAAAAGTTGATCAAAACTATTCTAGCCTTCATACTCAAGTAGATATAGTTTTTGATGCTGTAACGAAGCTTGTTGAGTATCATACTTCTCTTCATTCTAAGGAGTTTGTACATTTACAAGGCTTATTGGCAGAAGTGAAGGAGATGGTTTCGAAACTTGTTAATCCTTCTTCTTCAACTGGTTCTCAAGAGTCTATCTCACAAATGCTCCTTTCATTGGAAACTTGTTTGAAGGTTGATCTTGATCCTCTGTTGAAGTTTATTAATTTGATGCCCACAACTGCCCCACCTGTTTCCATAGGGGTGCAAGGGGGTGAGAAGGGAGTTGGTGCATCAAAAGATATGAATCAAGGCAAAGTTATTGGTAGATTAATAAGAACACAGATTCCCACTTCAATTCTAGTGTCTACAACAATTACTTCAACAACTACAACTTCAAAGCCCTTAAAAGAAATTACAATTGGTTCATCTGTTGGTGGATGAAGTTCAAAGCCACCTTCATAAAAAGAAGGAATGGAAGGTAAAGGCAAGGTAATAAGTATTGATCCAAGAAAGGAAGAAAAGAAAATTGCTTTGGAGAAGGAGATGGAAAGGCATATGCAGATCCAGAGCATATTGAGGTTAAGGCAAGGAGACCCACTTGGTCTTGAGAAGGGGGGTCCAACGAAGCCTTTCAGTTATGAAACTATCGAACATATATGTGCTCTTGGTGAAATGAGTGACTTCCTGAAAGTTCGGAAAAAGAGTTATGATATAGAAAATTCAAATTTCAATCAATTTGTTTTTCCTGTCATTCACATGACTTTTATATCATCTCAATATCAAATTGTTGACGAATTCCAAGATAAGGAAGAGTACAAGAGGCTGAAAATGAGATTTCACGTTGTACTCGGAAAGAAAGAAGAATAGATATGGTCACTACTGAAGATTGTCAAAGTAGTGGGAATAACAAAGGATCAACTATTCAAAGGGTTATTATAGAACTTTCTTTGTCACGTAGTTCGTCCCAACAATGTGGCATGTGATTTCTATGTAGCTGATTTTCCTTTGATGAATCTAAACGATCTCATCAGTATGGCTAAAATCTTGAAGGGAGTTGATGCTTTGAAACTCCAAGTGACAACCAAAGAAGACTTTTTGATCAGATTTGCTCATGTCAAACTCTTCATTGACAATTTCTATGATTGTCTTTCTTTAACTGATGTGGAGTTGGAGTTAGCTATGGGAAGACAAATTAGTATGCCTTAAACGTTATTCAAGGGTGTTAGGAGTTTAAAGGATTTTGAAAATGGATAAATTATGTTGAAGCTTTTGGGAGTTGTTTTTATGGGGAAGAATAAGAACAATAAAGTTATAAAGGTATTATTCAGAGTTGAGGATGTTGTAAGATACACTAACTGACAATATACGAATTTACTTGTTCGTATAAACAACTGCAAGAGAAACACAGAAGGAGATAAGGCAGATGTATGAAAAGCAATCAACTGGTACTCAGAGATCCATAGAGTTTTACATAAAGCTTCTTAGATACTAATGGCATAGGATTCGACACTGCTCACAAAGTGGGAGAATGTTGAGATCGAATATAGTTGTGAGGTGTCGAAATGTTCTTTGTATTTTATTAGTTCCCAAGTTAGTCTTGTATGTTTGCATAAGGGTATGTTGTAGTGTCGAAGCGTGATTGTATAAGCCCTTATGTATTTTTTGTTTGTTTCTGTAATCCCTATAAATAGGTGATAAGTACTAGAGTTAGAGTAACTTTTGAGCCTTCGCTACTTTACTCTAAGATTTTCTCTATATATTTCATAAACATTAATTGAGCCATACATATCTTATTTACTCTTTGTATTCATATTTCGATCTAAACTCTGATTACACTAAAACACTCGATCAATAACAACTACACTCTAGTGTTGTTTTAATTATTGTTATGATTAATTAATTTACAATTTATTTATTTGATCGAAAATTATTTTTAACTGTTGTTATGGTTAACTAATTAAAAACTTATTTTAAAAAGTTTATAACAAATGGCTCATGAAGGTTTTTAATAAATATTAAGTAAATAAAAAAGTCATTTGCATAACTTTATTATATATATATATATATATATATATATATATATATATATATATATATATATATATATATATATTGTGTTTTAGCTATCTATTGTGTGCATGTAAGATTGATTGTGGACCAATCATTTTAGTTATTTTAAGAAAGTAATTAATGCATATTACATTTTGAGGATATATTGAGTATATATTAAACATTCAACATTTAATACATATTAATTATTTTTTTTTAAAATAACTAAAATGATTGGTTCAGAATCAGTCCTACATGCACATAATAGATAGTAGAAACATTTGAACCTAACACTATCTCTCTCTCTCTCTCTCTCTCTCTCTCTCTTCATGTGGGGGTATAATGTTGATAAAAGGATGTGGGTCGTGAAGCGGAAAAGTGGAAGAATTGAATACTATGAGAATAAAGTTAACTTCTTGTCTAGACAAAAGTTGATCTTTCTGAACTCATCCACGCACCCTTCCACAATCCAAACAATGATACCATAGCCTGGTCTCTTAAGAACTTTCTTGAGACTAAAGTGAAAAATAACTTTAAAGGTTTAAAGACTGCTTCATCGTTTACTAAGAAGGCCAAGGGTGTCATTGATCCTCGCACAAACAAAACCATGGTGAATGTCATGTGGCAATCCACAAAGCAAGCTAAAAGGATTCCTCTTCCCAAACGCTTACCTGAAGGTACTTTGGATTCAATGCAATTATGGGTTTATGATGAGGCTACTGCAACTGTAGTAATCAAGCTAAAGAAAAACCAATTTCGTATTGTTGATCCTAAAGATCTGTTGAAGTTTGGAGAACGTGATATCCACACTTTGTCAAATTTTCAAATAATTGTTGAAAATGAATTGTTTGAAGCTGCCGCGAAAGCTTTCACCGGTATGGTAGCTACAACAACTGACAAGAAGTTGTGGGCAGGGACATTTGATCAAGGTGACGTGCATCTCGTGGAGAAACCTTAAAGAGAACTGAAAGCAATAAACCAATGGGGAGATTGTTGGGCTATATTTAGTGCTTTATGCTTTGTTTTGAAAGTATTATATGGTTCTCGGTGGGCTTAGTGTGTTTTCGATGAGTTTTTTATGTTTGGGCTTTAGGTTGTTGGTTTAGTATATACGTAGTCTGTGTATAGTCATTTAAGGCTAATGCGTTTTTGGTGAGTCTTAGTCATTTCACGGTTGGAGGGTGATTGAATGCACTTGACAATTATCTAATAGAATTGTGTGCATTCATTTGAAATGTGTTCTTGATATATTTTGTTTATTTTTTCATATCATTGTTTGATTAAGATTCCACATTAATCACACTATTGCATTGGTACCTTGATAGATCCGAGTTCAGAGACTTACAGATGTTCACCAATGAATATTAATCATATGCAATAATTTTTTTATGATATATGCTTGACTCTTTATCATTGATAAATTTGGAATTTTTTTAACGATCCATATTTGACCTTTTCAATATTATATAGTTGGAATTTGATTTCATTAACATGTTATAATCTTTGAATGTCCTTAATACTTATTGTTTTCAATTTTAATAAAGTGGTTTTATGGTTATACGTTTTATTTTGATTTTATGTTTTTATATATATATATATATATATATATATATATATATATATATATATATATATATATAACGCCCTATTTATTTAAATAAATTAATAAATGTAAGTCCCAGATTAATTGGTGAAGAATTTTGATAGTTGGGGGTTGTTAGTAAGTTACAGAGTTATTTTGGGTTTAAATTAAAAAGAAATATAGTAGGGAGGGACCAATATTGGTAAAATAGTCCAAAGTTTAATGAAATCATGGGTGAACCCGTCACCCTTATGTGCAGCCTCCATATCTAACCCATGACATGTGAAACCCTAACCCTAAGGATTCATTCAGCTGCCACCATCTTGTGACCCACCTAGCCACCACCTCCTTTCTGATCACGTCTCCGATGCGGACCAAGTCGCCATCTGCTGTCGGTGACACCGTGAGCGACAAGGACCAAGCGAGACCGGACTTGGAGCTGTACATGGCGAAGTGTGGGATGCTAACGAACAGAATATCATCGGAGAAACAAGCTGAGGAGGAGTCTCGAGCATTGAAGAACGAAGCCGCTGCGCTTCACCATCTGTTAAGGCGTTAGTACCACTCTGAGTCCGATAGCCGTCCTTCCTTCTTCTTCTTCTAATCAGCCTCCACCTTAGAAGCCTTCATGTCGCGTCGTTACTGTTATTTTGTTGATGTCATTGCCGGATGGGTAACAGAATTGTGAAGATGCCGCCGCCACCTCTACCCTTTTCTCTCCGTGATGATGGCTGTTGAGGTTTCCATTAACCAAGACCGAGCAGGGACCATCGTCGGTTGTTTTTGTTGCTGCAGTTTGCCAGCTGAGACCGCTACCCCTAGCCGCCACCCTCATTGACGGACTGTTGAAGAAGATAGGTTGTTACTGCCGTCAACTTTTCCATCAAGAACGATGATGGGCTGCCGGTGGGTGTAGCCGTAGCATCCACTAGTAGTTAGATAGTATCAGAGTGTTGTAAGTCTGCGGGTGTAGCCGTAGCATTCACTAGCAGCCAGATAGTATTAGAGTGTTGTAAGTCTGCGGGTGTATCCGTCGCATTCAAAAGATTAGCAGATAGTACTAGAGTGATGTGAGTATGTGGGTGTACCCGCAGCCTTCACTAGGTTGGTAGATAGCGTGAGTACGTTGTTAGGACGTGGAAAAGAACCGTAGTACCCACCAGTTCGAGTGTAGCATTGAGGATATGGAAATCCACATATTGAATTTCGGAGTTTCCCAGATAGATTAAACTTGGTTAAGCCAATGATAAGCTGTAGAAGCGCCACTACAGAGAAGAGATCAAAGGTCATTTATGGCATAAGGCTACAGGTGGTCATGTAGCAATCACTTTTAGCCTTGGGTTTGGTGACATCATGATTTGATGTATGGACTAGAATAATTTATTGGGCTTTAGGGTAAGGTCCATATGAAGGATTGGGCCCAATTTGGAAAATTGGGCCATAGTTGGGGCCTAGATGGTTGTATGATGTTGGGCCCCTAGATTGAGACATGTTGGACTGGATTGAACAATTGGGCCTTATGGGAAGTCCATATAGAGGTTTGGGCCTAATTTGGAAAATTGGGCCATATGTTGGGCTTTGAACCCTAGTTGACTTTGGGCCTATGGATTGGGCCTTGGGCTTGGGTAAGCCAATCTAGGGGTAATGTAGTAATTATCCAAAGCATGTATTTATAGTTATGTGTTAGAACCCAATTATTAATTGGGTGTTATTTTGGTGATGACAGTTAGGGAATCTGTCATCCAGCAGCTGGGGTTGAGTCTGCAGGACTTCAGCAGTGTGGGATTGTGTCTATAGGACTTTAGCAGTGTGAGGTGAGTTTCCTTCCAGTAGGAACGGGTCTAAGGCCACAATGCCGGCCCGTTTAGTAGCAGTAGTTTCCGGACTTTGGTCCGATGCAGTTGTTAGTTTGTTTGGTGCCTTCGTGGCTCAGACAGGATTTATGTGTTAAGTGTTATGGGATACGGCCTGACGTAGTATGCAGTATATGAGTTTATGATCATGTGTGTTATGCTATTTGATATGTGTTTTTGCTATGCTATGCTATGCCCAGTCAGTTCCAGACTTCGATCCGATGCAGTTAGTTTCGGACTTCGGTCCGATGCAGGGGACAAGGTCCCAGTCAGTTCCGGACCTCGGTCTGATGCAGTTAGTTCCGGACTTCGGTCTGATGCAGGGGACAAGGTCCCATTCAGTTCCGAACTTCGGTCCGATGCAGTTAGTTCCGGACTTCGGTCCGATGTAGTGGGCAAGGCCCAATATGTGTTTATATGTTATTGTATGGTATGTAGTAGTTTGGGGGAGCTCACTAAGCTTCGTGCTTACAGTTTCAGTTTTGGTTTCAGGTACTTAGTTTTCAAAAGAGGAGTTCAGGATGATTGCAGTGCACACACCATTTGTTCAGCCTGGGATGTTTATACTCTGATATATTTGACAGTTGTTATAATATTTTGAGATACATTGCTTATGATTTCTATATGAGGTTTATTGACTATGGTTTTATCATTAAGTTAAACGAAATTTTCAGACTGTGTTTTTGGGAGGTTTCAATATATATATATATATATATACACACACACACACACACACACACACACACACACACTAGTGGCCCGCACAAAGCAGTGACGACAAATAGTTTTCAGACGTTGATTAATTTATTTCGGTGAATACTTTCCTTGCGGCTATCAGATCAAACCATAAAAACCTTTAAATATAACCAAGTTACAATATTGATAATTCTTTCATTTCTACAATCCTCAAACGTTGATAAATCTATTAATACATTACTTTCTTGCAAATTGCAATTAATCACTCATTCATAATATTAACTTCTAATAACCGTAATATCTTAATTTGTTTCAGAACTTTGATCGGTTTGGTGGGTTGTAGGGTTGTAACAATTGAATCTGATTTTTTTATTTTCAATCTATTTTAAATTGTTTTTGTAGTCTTGAAACCATTTTAATTTATAAAGTTAATGTAAATGTTTATCCATTTATTTCTTTATTATAGTATTTTACTTTTATATTTTTTTATCAATGTGTTTTTCAATTTTTTTATGATTACCTCTCCGGAAAATTATATATTGTGATGACAACCACTAAAAACGTATCTCACTCGCATTTAAGATTTCAGCCTATTAAATATATAAACACCATGATACAATGGTTATACGTTTGATACCAATTATTGATTTTAAAATGTTTCGTTTTTCTTCAAAAGAAATTGTTTATAATAAAATGGAGATAATTTAATTGATGGAAAAGTATGGTTTGATTTAATTTATGTTTTAACGGAGGAAGGTCGAAAATAACAATACGTGATTGGGTGAATAAAGAAGGAAAATCATTTAATTGATGGAAGAGTATGGTTTGATTTAATTTATGAGTCATTAATGTCTAATGCGATTAATTTGTGAAATGGAAATGTAATATGTGTATTAAAGGGTAAGCATAAATTGATTGTACATGATGTAGTAGGTATAATACTTCTTAAATTTCAAAAAATATCTAAAATGTTTTATATAATAGTAAATATATATACTAGTGGTGTGTCCGCGCAAAGCAGCGGCGACAAATAATTTTTGGATGCTGATTAATTATTTCGGTGAATAATTTCCTCGCGGCTGTCAGATCAAACCATAAAAACCTTTAAATATAACCAAGTTACAATATTATAATTCTTTCATTTTACAATCCTCAAACGTTGATAAATCTATTTATGCATTACTTTCTTGTAAATTGCAATTAATCATTCATTCATAATGTTAACTTCTAATAACCGTAACATCTTAATTTGTTTTAGAACTTTGACCGGTTTGGTGGGTTATAGGGTTGTAATAATTCAATCTGATTTTTTATTTTCAATCTATTTTAAATTGATTTTGTAGTCTTGAAATCATTTTAATTTATAAAGTTAACGTAAATGTTTATCCATTTATTTCTTTATTATAATATTTTACTTTTATATTTTTTTATCAATGTGTTTTTCATTTTTTTTTTTTTTTTTTTTTTTTTTTTAATTTTATGATTACCTCTCCGGAAAATCATATGTTGTGATGATAATCATTAAAAATGTATCTTATCCGCATTTAATATTTTCAACCTACTAAATATACAAATACCATGATACAATAATTATAGGTTTGATACCAATTATTGATTTTAAAATGCTTCGTTTTCTTCAAAAAAAATTGTTTATAATAAAATGGAGAAATTTAATTGATGGAAGAGCATGATTTGATTTAATTTATGTTTTAATTGAGAAAGGTGGAAGATAATAATACGTTATTGAGGGAAAAAAAGAAAAGTTATTTAATTGATAGAAAAATATGGTTTGATTTAATTTATGAAGCATTAATGTCTAATGTGATT